ACAGTGTACTCTGTCCGTCTTCAGGAGACTCAGTCACAGTCTCAGACAGTCTCCTGAAGACGGACAGAGTACACTGTTCGAAACGTCGAGTTATTCCCCGGTTCTCAGAACCACACATACTCAAAGAAGAGATAAATACATGGTGTTACCGCAATCTTTACTATAAATGTAGTTTCTTTCACCATGAAAACCTTTAAGTCTTAAACTTGTAATTACGTAAATCTTATACTTTCGTGTCAAACTGTTTCTCAACAACTTACAAAAACAAAACAGAACAAGAAATAACAGGTGATCCATACGTCTAAATTGAACACGTCTGACACTATTCTTAAGTCTCTTTATTTTTCATCAAAATCCATGATTGCAATATTGAGCCCCCCCCCAAAAAAAACAATTGTAAACCATATACTTTGGAACAGGCCTATCTTGCTGGAATGACTGGCGCGAAGTACGTGTGGATTGCGCCGTACTGGGCAGGCACTGTATGGTGGACCAACCCCCTTTCGTCAGCCATCGCTCCTTGCACCGGCGACCAAATCCTTAGCGCCGTGGATTCTTCCTTCCATTTCACGGGAAACAGCCAGAAAGGTCTACCCGACTTGGATTACAATGGAGTGGTACGTAACGGATTATCGGCACTGTTTTTGGTTTGGCGTCAGCAGTGCCTAAAAGGTAAAAAATCTAACATGTCAAAAATTAATCGACCAGTTATTGATCAAAAATGCTTTCACTCAATTTGGATATTTCTAGTGTGAACTGGTTTATGTAAATGCAACGTGCTGAAACCAGAAACTTATACAGGTAATTGGACTGATGAAGGGTGTCTAAAATCACAGGATAGTACGTGTCATATTGAAAAAATATAGTATTTCCGCACAATAGTTGGACTGACCCAAAAAATCAACCGTGCTATAATAATGGATAATCTGATCAACGTGATACGTAAAATCCTGTCACAGTTGAGCCAGGGAAGCGTTGTGAGGAATACAAGAATGAGCAAGTTCAGTATTTCAACAGAGCACGCCCAAAATGAAGCGCGTCCGAGGTCATAGGGAACAGCGATGCGTGCACATGTCTCCAGGCCCTATCTGCGCCGTCATGTGCGCCATACGCCGACTAGCACGTGCGCTTTGATCTTGAATGATCTTGCCTCTTCTTAAGTACCGAATAGGCTCATATGTTTGTGTGCGTGCATAACCACACGAGCGCAGACGACCTAGGAAGATTTCTCACGGTATTCTGTATGTTCCAGAATTCAAGACGGTGTACTTAATGTGTTTCCAGAAACCCTTACCAGAACACTACGACTACTTCAACAGCGTGCCGATAAACTTCTTTGCGTTTACATACGACAACGCCATAGCCATAGCACTGGCCCTGAATGCCTCCATAGCGGACCTACAGCGTCTCCAGCCCCCTCGTAGGCTTGAAGACTTCAGCTATTCCGACGAGGACATGGCAAGAGTGATTTTACATCACGCTAATAACATTGATTTCACTGGACTGCAGGTAAGGATTCCTTGCAAAAAAATCTGCAATTTTTTTTCTGCTCAGTTCACTGCATCTTTTGCTGTACATAATTTTCCCCTGCTTGTGAATAATTATGACAACAGTAATACAGGGCTGTGATTCTACATTCTGTTTTAGACCATAATTTGTATCGTCTCAGCTGCTAAAGGTGTTAAAATTTACCATGTATTTGTAAACATTAGTAGTGTAGCCCGTCCATCCAGTCGATATTACGTAATTTCTACGGGCTCAAAATGCGTAAGAGCAATTAAAGTGAGTAAAAAAGCAATGAAATGAGTACAAGAGCAGCGCAAATGAGTAAAACAGCAATGCAAACAAATAAGAGTAATGAAATGAGCAAAAGCGCAATGCAAATGAGTAAAAGAGCAATGAAATGAGTAAAAGAGCAATGCAAATGAGTAAAACAGCAATGGAATGAGTAAAACAGCAATGGAATGAGTAAAACAGCAATGGAATGATTAAAAGGGCAAAGCAAATGAGTAAAAGGGCAAAGCAAATGAGTAACAGAGCAATCAAGATGAGCAAATGAGCAATGACAATGAAACGATATAAGCATGTAATGCCTCTAATATAAAATTTAACAAACTTCTGGTAATCACTCTTGTAGTAAAAATTAGTAAAATCTTAAAATGAGTATGATAACTGAAAAAAATGAACGGAAAAGAGAAATAGAAACACTACTTAAACCAGTATGTGAAGTCTACTGAATTTGTTTTGTGTTCTTACTGACCAGTATGACTATCGAGTAATAATTTTCGGGATGGATACCGGCCGGGAACTTCTGCACATTATTCCATAGCACGAAGGGTATATTTACATCTTTGCTACGTGCTGAAAATCCGAACTGACGTCATATGCCGCCCACGAGAATTTATAATTTTTACATAATGATGTTTTTTATATTTCCTCCACAATAAAGATCCACAGTAACGCTCCGTTCCGTTTGAATTTGTAAAAACCGTATACATGTACAGGGTGACCGACGTAAAACACCAGTTCAAAAGATTAAAATTCAGCTCCAACAAATTCCGTGTACATGTAAATGTACAGGGTAACTGGACGTAAAACACTAGTTTAAAGGATTAAAAAATTCAGTCAGGGCCAGCTGGGTCGTGTTCCCGTATCGATCAGATTTTCATAACCATAGTAAGCCGAACGAATGACCGTTAGCATGTGCCCGCCCTCTCTCGTTTAGTGTCCATGGGTTAAGTCAGACCAGTGCCCGCCCCGAAGCACACACAAGCCACCACACAGCGCCTTGTACAGTCCACTTTCCGAAAGATTATCCTTATCATTACCTGTCGGCACGTGCAGTCCATTGCATGTCTAGGGATTATCGCTTACTGCCCCTTGATTACTTTAGGACCTTCTGTTGGGCCAGTCGGTATTTTTCAATGACTCATCGTCTATTTTTATCATCATATTTCATCCTGTTGTGCAATAATTTCACAGGAAAGGTCAATGTGTAACACATTTTCTAACCCTATTCCTTCCCAGTTTACAAAACAGTTCTTTGTATCTGTAAAAATGACATCGCTCACCATAAAACACAAAACATACATAAGATGTTACGCTCCTTGATTCTATCCCTCCAAATTTACCCTGTATCCCCATGTAAAGTGGAACATTCCACATTTATGTTAATGAGGGTCACTTGGGACAAAATCTGGCCCGTCAAAATTACGTAATATCCAATGGGGGGGACGGGCTGTAGTACTTACCTTAACTATTTTGCCTTGTTATGTGTCGTACAACAATTCCAATCAGGGTCAACAAGTAACAGATTCCTCGATGACAACATACACATACCTATCAAGCCATTAATGGCAGGCAATTAACTTTAAATTCGGAAACTCAAGCTTGTAAGATCACATAAACTGATGATCTTGAAGGCACAAAAGTGGCAAACTTTGAAAAAGGTAACTGATAAAAATGCAGTTAAACATGCAGGTTTCTTCTGAGATTCATAAGCGGAGAAAGTCCATTCATTTTCCCCCAAACATACAATGGAGGCAGTCGTTCATTCCAGTTGTGCCAGGGCACTTCACCTATGGTTGATAACCATCCAATTCCACGCAGAGAACATGCTACCCAACGCACTTTATATATATACTGAAGTTCAGAAGTTTTCAAAAATAGTTTAATTTCTTCTGCTTGTTGTGGACAGGGACGGGTTCTAATAGAGAACGGTCAACAAACTTGGGACAAGGTACAGATAGCGCAGGCTCAAGGTAAGGCTTATGAATGCAGAGAAGTGTTTAGGGAACACACGTGTTGTTTTCAATTTGTTGAAAGATTTGGGGTCCTCTAATATCCAAGAATTTTCTTCAAGTTATTACTTTAAATAAAAAACTCCTCTGACCGCCGATCTGGGCTCGAAGCCACCGCGTACCTCGTATAACGAAATCTCCTGTGCAAATTATTAGTAGTACGGAATAGGTCTGCGTACTGATGAAGTCAGTCTTTGTTTTCGAGTGCACTTTCCTGTGGATCCAGTGGGGGCCTAAATAGAAGAGCACACAAGGGAAAAATTTTTGTGGCCAAATATAGCCGGAGATTTGTTAAATGGGCCAAATAACAGTATGGTTATGATAAAAACAACGACACGAGTTGTGGAGCTCTCAGGGAAAAGATATATAGCGTGTTAATTTTGTAAAGTGTGTTTAGGAATCATACTGGACAGTCTGGTTGTTAGCTTACGAATTAGTCACATTACAGAGACAAACTGCAGCTTTATCATAGTTAGTGCGGTCTGCATAGTTCTTTTTCACTTTATGTAGGCTCCAAGTTGAATACCGTCATGATTTACAGTACAACACTGGAAGAATTTCTAGAGACTTCAGAAGTTTCTACAATCAAGTGGAAAGGTAAAATGATACTGTCATGACAGGCCATCTATTTAAGGAAGTCCACTTAAATTATTTTTTGAGGATGCCGAGGGAGACAGGCAGATAAGGGAGTCAAAAGTAACTGTTTCAATTATAAAGAGTTTTATTTCACATTAACTTTTGCGGTTCAAATGTCCAGGTTTGATTACAATTAAATATGATTCAAATCCTCTATTACCCTCATTCCTATGATCCTGAATTATTCCTGTAATTCTATACTCTTATTTTCTCCCAATTCCTCAAATGGCAGGTCGGTGTCGGTGGACCTGGAAATACAGGTGATTCACAATACCGCGCCTCCAAGAGTTTACAACGCGTTGGCCAATCACAACGCTCGAAATTTGGCGACCCTTTTCAAACGCGCATTGGGTCAACAAATTTCGCTCACTGTGATTGGCCAACGCGTTGCAAACTCTTGGAGGCGCACTACTGTGAATCGCCCGTATTGAGTAAAATCAGTGATCAGTGTTCCCCTTGCTTAAAGCTGTTTCCATGGATACCTTGGTTTAAGGTTTAGTAACAGCATTGCCTGACTTGATATCCAATACATAACACAGTACAACTTGTCTATCCCACCTACAGGCGATCACATTCCCGTTGACGGTGTTACAACTAGAATTGTGAATTTTGAAATATCATCTACAATCCGAGCCATCCTATACTCTCTGGCTTCTGTCGGTGCCGCCATAGCAATTACTTTCCTCGTGATCAACATCAGATACAGAGACAAAAGGTGACCGATCCCACATACCCCAATATCTAAACCCATCATGCCACTCGATGTGAAATTGTCGGGTCTTGTTTTGTTCCCCTGGGTAGAAGTGTGAAAGGAAAAGCTAAATCGGCTTTGTGAAGAAACTGCGCGAGGGAAAGAGACTTAAAAATATCTTTAATGGGGATTAAGACGAACTTGGAAAAGGAAGGTATCAAAATCTAAGGAGCAGGATTCGAACTGATGTCTCGTCTCGCCTTAGTCAGATGATGATAATGTTCTAGTCTTTTCTGTTGACTTTGTAAAATGCCATGCATGTCAGAGGAAGTCACAGAGAGGGGAAGGCATTCGTTGTACTGAGCTGACTTTCCCCATTTAACAGACTAACAGGAAATCAAGCACTTGGTATTATCTTGTACAGTCCTGATGGGAAAAATTACAAACTATAGAAGGGCTGGCATGGTGCCATTGATCTGCGTTTATGCCTTGAAGCCTCATCTTCCAGACTGGCAGGTAATGCGCTTGATACTGGTTGCCAACTCTGTATGCCCACCCCTTATGCAACACACAAAAAGCGTATAAGAAATTACTGCCTTGATGACAAATTAAAAGCTGTTAAGAAGCTCTCGTCTTGAATTCCTATACTTCAGTGAGAAGTACACTCAATCTTTTTCTTTTTCCAGCTGGAGGGGGCCACTTTGCTCAAAGAACTCGTCTGTTTCATTCCAATGTTTGTGGAACGTGGCATACATGTGCAGTCATCAATTAAATTAACATAGTTTCAATTAAGAAGAACATTTTTAGCGTTTCGTTCATAAAGTCATTGATCTCATCCTTGTCACGCCTAAACTTTTTAAGTACACATTCACAGTGATTTTCACTTTAAATCGCCTTTTCCCTTAATCCAGTATTTGGAAATCAAAGAGTAATGATACAATTTAACACACTGCTGATTTTTAAAAATTTATACATTTTAGGAAGATGGTCTGATGAGATCATTTTCTCCTACTTGCAGGGCCATCAAGATGTCGAGTCCTTCCCTGGGTAACCTGACTGTGGTTGGTTGTTTGCTTCTCTACGCCTCTGTCTTTGCCAGAGGCTGGGACAAGACGCATATGTCGGATACAGTTATCATAGCCAAGTGTCACGTAAGTATAAGTCCTATATCTTAAAATTATGATTAGAAAAGATGAAGAAAGAAATTTCTCGGAACGGGATCTGAACCTGCGACCTCCGGAATACCGTACTGGTGCTCTACCAACTGAGCTACCCAGCCCTACGTTGGTAGCCTTTACCAGTTGTCAATATCTTTGTTCGGGGGACACCAGCCAGAAGCCATTAAACCTGAAACACCATGTAGCCAGGCATCACGTCCCAATAACCCGATAACACATGGGATTTGGTGAACCGGGATCACTCGGAGAGGACACAGCTTTTTGAACATAAATCATAAAACAAATTATATACTTACTTATAAACTTACTGTTAAAAACAAAACAGTGGATGAAAACAGCTCTACAGAAAAATTTTAAAGTTTTTCACACTGCACATTGTTATTAAGCAGGGAAATGTTAGATATAATTTTGTAAAATGTTCAAAACTTCATACCAAAAGTTGAAAAGTGTTTTATTTTACACATACATATCAAGAAACGATCCCGAAACAAGTTTGTCTGTTTAATGGGAGCTGAACATTAGATTACCTCCCTCCTTCGTCTCAGCCAACTTGCTCTTGATAACGTCTGCTTTCTTTCGCGTCTCATTTTGTGCTCTTAAGTGTTGTAAGCGATCCATGCTCATATGGAACTCATCACCGGTACAACACGACGAATCTGACCAATTTCCAAGTGGGTTTTTTTTTTCCTAGCGTCATTACATTTTCTTCACCGATTCTTTGGTTTCAGCTTGAGAGGATTCTGATTTCCCTAGGGCTGTCATTTGTGTTCGTTTCTATCTTCATGAAGACATACCGGATACACGCTATATTCACTCTTGCAGTCAAGAAATTCAAACGAATAGTAAGTAAACAGGTTTAGCTTAATGAGAAGAAAGATCATAAAACGACCATGAGTCGATTTTATTACGCTATTGCTGCAGTAACAACTACATGACCATGTATTTTACATAATGAGCTCGGGGAGAACAGCTCTATCATAATTATTCTACGTTGTCTTGTCATTCTCAGCAAACTCTCTTGCACATGCTATATCCCCATGTACTGACATTAAAAATTGGCATTCAGTCGGTGATTCAAACTAATTGAAAAGATTTATTACAATTCCCAAAGCATGTCAAGTGATGATGTTTGGGCGATGCCGTAATGAGGTCTAGTTGCGGGTACAAAGTACAATTAGGGTCGTTCAGTGAAGAGGCTGCTACCAGTGTACCCCCCCCGCCACCTGAGCACATCTACGCCACTGTTTATAGGTCATGTTTACTTCTTTCCTTAATTTCTCTCCCGAATGCGAATTACTTCTTTCAGGATCTACCAGACTGGAAGCTTATCGTCAGAGTGTTTTCAGCTGTCTTAGTTGATTGTGCGATATTCGTAGCTTGGATTGCCATGGATACGACGACCGTTGAAAGACACACCCTTGAGCCCCGGGTACGAAAATTGTAGTTTGAGATGTATGCATTACGTCTGCCCCAAGTCAAGACACACAACCTGGTATATAGCCTTTACGCTGCCCACTGGAATTGAATAGACGACATAATCTGTTCATACTGCTAGTTGATACGGAAAAAAAGGGATTGAAAAGGTCATATTAAAATGCAAATAATTCAATACCGAATGTTATAACTCAGTTTTTAGTTACAGGCTTCCGTCAAATACACATTAACATTTTTTTTGAAATTTCGGTGTACTTCTATTTGACTTTCATGTTAAATGTTTTATCTTTATATAGCTTAACATGACCGAGCCTGAGAAGGAGATCTATCAGGTTCCAGAGATTCGTTTCTGCAGCAGCACGAACGAGCATTATTTCATTATCGCCCTCTACGTCGTGAAAGGAGTCCTCCTGACCTTTGGCATTTTCTTAGCCTGGGAAACAAGGAACATTGCAGTCTCCCATTTCAATGACAGTAAGAATGCTAAATGAAAAAAATCACTTTCTGAGAGGCAGAGAAATTTCTTTTCTTTTGTTAAAAGAAAGTAGTATGTACGACATCATGGAAACTTTGCGTTGGGTTCGGTTCAAGGTCTATTTTATGTTTGTTTCTGATGGTAGGTAAATACATCGCAGCTTCAGTGTATGTCGTTGCCTTGACCATAGTCTTGACTGTCCCTACAATTACTGTCCTGTGGGATGACGTCAACATGACGTTTCTTGTTCTCGGGGTGGCAATTATTGTCGTCAATACAACAGTGCTTTGCCTGAACTTCATTCCCAAGGTATTCCAGTTCTTATTCATGTGAATAAAGCGAATATGAGGTTTAACTGCTTCGTGTGTACCATTGTTTTTTGAATGAAAAGCCGAACCAAATATTCTGGCTTTTCTTTGGTTGTACTTGAAAAAAAAAAGGTTTATTTATTAAGAGACGTCTTAAATTTCTAGTCAGCACTTTTGGGAGACGATATTTATGGACATTCTGTCCTATTTTTGTTGCTAGTTTGTGTCAGTGTTTGTTTTGAGGGCATTAGGCAATCTTGATTTGAAATGAAAGTTGAACTTTATATTATTTGTCTGAAAGGACTGAAAAAAGTTGACCTTTTGTGTTCTTAAGGACTTCGATGGAAATATGCCCCGTTATAAGTAGCTTTTCGGGTTATCCCCAGCTTTGTAACTTCATGATGTATGTGTCTCTTACGTATTGGTGTCTTGTTGGTGTTGTTGTTTCGGGTTTACTTTTGCTTGTATAAATAAATTAATGAAATACAAATTTAAAACAATTGTTACACCATTATAGTGAATTAATAATTTCTGCAATCTTGTTGTCGAAATTTGTGCAGTTACATTTTTGGAAATTCATCCGTAAACGTTAAAGATTTCAAGGAAACTAAAACTTTTCCTTTTTACCTATATTCAAAACATCGACGCAAATTTTCGGAGAATGGTTAGGTCTTTTTAAAGTGTACTTTCCTTTGACAATGTTGTTCAAAATTATTTTGCTCAGTGAAAAGAACAGCAATTATCTTGAAATGATTAGGGGACAAATCATTCAAGCAACAGTATTTTTATGGAAACGTTTTCATTTCCATCTACGCAATCTATTTTGTGTTATGAAAGCACAGAATCTGGGGCATTTTCACAGTGTGTTTGGTTTATAATATTTAAACTGAGAGCGCCTTAGGATAACACGAATCTCCTCAAATATGCCAGGTTTCCATGTCGAGTGAAATAATTAAGGGAAATTGTATTTTTTCCCCCAAATCTCTGCGTGATAGGTGTATCTTCTGCTCACCGTCCAAGATAAGGACATCAATTTGAGCATGATGTCATCGATGGGATACGGTAGTTCCTCTACGACCAATACAAGCAGTTCATCCAGTAAGAATACCAGCAGTAAACTGAATGGATTACGCTCAAAATGTCAACAGGTAAACAAAATATGAATATACATGAATTCAAAAGTTGTTCTTTCGATTGAGAAATCTTACACAAATTAACGTGTAGGAGGTGTCTTCTGTAACCAAGTAGATTAAGCAGGGATTGAAAAAAATCAAAACAATGGCCACGGCGGGAACTGAGCCAGGGTCAGCAAATGTTGGTATAAATGGAGAGAAAGAGCCACAGCAACAGCCCAGTGTCCTATAATAATTTTCAACGTTTGTGCTTAAAACAGCGGGACGAGGAACTGCAGCGGTTGTACAGGGAACTGCAACGTGTGTGTCGAGAGAGGACAACAACGAACTGAGATCGAGGCTGTAAAAAAAGTTGTTTATGGATGTGTGAACTTTCAAACTAGATGGAACTCTTTTCGCACACACCTACAAAGAGGTTCATTGCACTCAATGCAGACAGCTTCCGGTTGTTCCTACAGCAAACACAGTTAGCATTAATTTTTGACCGCAGGAAAGGGGAATATGGGAGAATCAGGTGACATTCCTCCGTGTAATCGGCACATCGCTTTATTGTTTAATCAGTAATTATTGAAACGACTTCAGGCTGAAGCAAGTCATATTCGGTTGTGCTTTTTAACTAATAAGCTTCACTTGTGTTGTTACAAACGACAAGTTTCAAAATATGTAGGATTTGTGTTAACTGTGCACAGTATTTTCATCATTTATATTTCTGAGCTGAGAAGCCCCTTTCGGCTTCAGAAGTGTAGAAAACCAAAGAGGCTCTGCGAAAAACTGCATCAAAAGGAAAACTGGAGGGGAGCTGTCGTGAGATGGCGCCCTAGTCCTATAATAGATCAGCAATCCTCCAGAGAAATTTTTACAATACATAACTAAAACGTACATTTCCCCATTCCTGAAAGTAGATAATTTACTAGTACCTCTTAGCATGCAACTCTCACCTTAAACTACCAAGATCATGAAAAATGAAAAAGTTTCAAACTAATAGTTCCCCAAGTTTTCTTTCGGACAAGCAAAACCCCGTATTATCTAACAAGCCATATCCATGTGTGTTCAAATGCCCCCAAATCGAAATTATAGCATAACATTAAATGTGGGAAAAACCTTCAAGGTGAGCTTTATGCACTTGTATTAGTATGTACTACACCTGTAAATACTTGACACATGCACATGTCATCTATTTCATAATGTGGGAACAGTTTCGTTTGAAGACCATGTGACGTATTTTGCTTATTCACTGAATAAGGTTGCCATATGGTTGTAATAACCCTAATAAGCAGTACCCAAAATGTAACTTGGACGGTAGTCGGGGGGGGGTTCACGCAGAGCCATTTGCATATATAATGGTTGGGAAACAGTCAGGAATGGAGAAATGGGCAAGTTTGATGTTGACCATTCTTCCACCTGCAGCTACATGCAGTATTCATTTCACGATTACATATAGGTGGTGCATCCTATACGTGGTCAGTGTGCTTAAGTTTTAGTTAAGGTCCCACCCTCAGCAGTTACAGTAAATTTATCAAAATAATCAAACATCAAGAATATAAGTGTATGTTAGCGGTATCAAAGGTTCCTTATTGTTAGTTATTTAAAGTGAGGGAGAAACCTATAGGCATATAATACACCACTTTACAACAATGATGCACTAAACTTAGAAATATGTGGCCCGACACCATACACTGTATATCATGAATATGGAATAAATGTATATAGAATATGAAGACAGAAACTGCATAATAACATAGATTAATGGAAATTAGCGCAACAAATTACTTTTAAAGTTAATTACTGTCCAATAAATGGCTGTAAATTACCGTCAGAAAATTGCTGTAATACGTTTACAATATGCTACGGGCGCTCGCACAGCTAGTAAGGTACTGTACTACGGAGAACAAAATCGAAAATGGTTAACTCAAGAATAATGGCCATTGCACAAGTACAACTTTTATTCTATTTCTCGCTCATAATTATATGCGTGTAAATCCCAGCTTCCGCAAGAGAACATGTATACAATAAAACACAAGACGTGGATTTATAACATCACAGTAGAAAAGGGTGTCCTCCTCTAGAAATAAAGGCTAAGTGTTTTAAGTGCTTTTTTTAACAGTAGCTTTTTTACACCTAGGCACATTCAAATTCGTTCGGTCCAGCTCATGACTCGAATATCCTTGGCCAAAACCAGCAGTGTTGCTTTCCTCTGAAAAAAAGAAATCATACAACATGACTTTTGACAAATCCTTAATATTTCTTTTTAAATATGAGTACAGTTTATTAATAAAACAGACAGCTCACAACTAGCATCATTCGATCGCGAATTCAATCCTGTACATTTCATGCATTTTCTTCTAATCAATTACATAATGCAAAAACTCCTTAGTACATAAATGCATTACAACACTTTGAGACTTTTTAGCAGCTCTGTGAAAGTATGGGCAAAGTTTGTTCTCACAAAGAACCCATCAAATTGCTCCTTAAAAGTAACGTGTAGTAACGTGTTAGAAGGACCTTGAAAAAAGTCAAAAGCAAACTTAAAAACTAAGCGAGGATAGCTTTTGATATCCTTGAACTCTTACTTGCTTCAGTTTTCCTCGAAGTCTTTCCAGTTCAGTGACATCTTCCTTGTCCTGTGACCGGCAGGTGTGTGTAGTCGTGGACTCACTACACCCCTGGGAGGGCATCATACTCAAACTGATCGTCTTCTCGTCAACTGATGTAAGGAGGTACACCTAAATAAAAAAAAAACTTGTACCTTAAACTTCTTTAAATGTTAGCTGACCCAGACAACAAATGTGACCAACTTCTTTAAGCCATGTACCATCGTTGGATACATTTTTCTGTGACCGCAGCCATCAAAATCATGAGCAGCTATAACCTCATCCGTTTTTACTATCGCTGTCATCGCAAACCCGAGTACAACCAGGTATGTTAAAAAACTCAAATGTAATCTCTAAGTTATTTCCATATAAATAATTAGTGTTATAAAGTTGAGGCAAAAGGTACCTTTGGAACGAAATTCAAACAAAGCACTGCTGTGTTGACGATAACAATGGCCAGCCCTATAACAAGAAACGTCACATTGACGTCATCACCCAGGACAGCCATCGTTGGGACAGTCACGGTTACAGTCAAGGCAACCACACACACTGACGCCGCGATGTACTTACCTACCATCAAAACAACAGTAGGCCTATCACACAAACTTGTTAAAGACTTCCAAATGTTCGTGCTGTGAATTGCTCTCTTGAGAAATTTTCACACAATAATCAAACCTAAAAAGTTGAGAACATACATAAGCATTCTTACTGTCATTGAGCTGAGACACGGCAATGTTTCTTGTCTCCCAGGCCAAGAAAATACCGAAGGTCAACAGCACTCCCTTCACGCCGTAGAGGGCGATAGTAAAGTACTGAGCATTCTCACTGCTGCAATACCTTATCACAGGAACGTCGAATATTTCCTTCTCGGGCTCGGTTGTATCAAGCTGTTCAAAGCAACGACATCAACATTATATATGTTCTTAAACAGACGGTTATTTCTTGTTTGTAACTGTTTGGATAGAAGTACATTATTATCATGCTGCATTTAGTTACCATCCGCTGAGCACTTACTAGGGGCTCCAGATGTCGGCTGTTAACAGATGTCGTATCCAAGGCAATCCACGCAGCAATGATTACGAAATCCACGAGCACAACCGTCAAGACTCCACAAATAAGTTTCCAGTCAGGTAAGCGCTACATGTCACAAAATATCAATCGAAAAGTACTTTAGAACGTAATACGAAACTGCTGCAAACTGCTTGCTGGCTTGAGTGACCTAAAATACAAATCACAAAATAAGGAGGGTTTGGCTTTTCGATCGATATCAGAATCTTTATGAAGAAAACTTTTGCTAAAATCGAAACGTCAGGCCCTCCTTATTTTGTGTTTTGTGAAAAGTGAGTTAGTAAATGTAGTAAATGCAGGCCAACATTTAGGCAGGTGGAGTCAAGAATCAAACTAAACAGAGATGTAGGCCTACAGATCAAACCTATCTTAATGAGCGTAACAAAAGAAAACAAATTCATGAACCAAGATAAAGAAATTTGTCCAAGTATAACATTTTTCGCATATTTTAATACTTTCCTTATGTTATTTCAATGCATATCTTTCAGGTTGGCTTTCTTTTAACGAGCCGCCGCATATGTTTAATAAGTCTGCTGCCACCTAGAGTCCATTCTCAATTTTTTATCAGAAAATAAGTTGAACACCCATCTTTTCGTATTCACAAAATTACCTACAAAGACGCTGAACTGGCTACAGTGAAATAAACACCTGCACCTTAGACACGTCTTTCGTGTAGGCCCTGTGCATAATTATGCTGCAGTACATACACATACACCAACAACGTATCGAATTCTCGTGAATAATTAGGACAGTTATGCAGGAAGAAGAAATGTCGTGTTGCGCGGTAGCTATTGGTCATGTACAGAATCGGAGTGTTTCATTTCCATACGTAACAGCGTAATTCAAAGACTACTCACAATTCGTTTGAATCTTTTCACCGCAACGGTGAAAATAGCGTGAATCCGGTACGTCTTCATGAAGATCGAACCAAACGCACACGACAACCCAACGATGATCAAAATTCTCTCCATCTAAAACATATGAAAGGTGAAATGAAAAAATTATTGAGATACATTATATTAATAACCTGTCTTGGAACTAGTGAAAAACGTGGACGGACTAATCTTTTTCTGAAGAGACTGAACAAAATATGTCACCAGTCGTCATAGTCGAGTTAAGTAATGGGCTTTTTTAATAGCAAAGTGAAATGAACCGCCAAATGACTTGGCTTTCAAAATGAAGAACTTTTTTTAATGTCTGTGGGAGAAGTAGTACGGTTTATGAGACCAAAATGCTCCCACAATTCATTCTGTGGTATCCACTCAAGTAAAGAGCTTAATGCCAAATGAAAAGGCATGGCAAATCGTTTTCATAGACCCTTAGGCCTTTTTAATTTCATAAATACTTCCAATGAAATGAAAATTGTGGGTAGTCCTTAATTCTGACCATTATTCAATCGGGTCAATTTTTTCTTATCAGTAATATGCTCGAATGATAGTTATCTTTTAAATAGTCCTACGTGTGAACGGAATGACCGCAATACTTTGGAGTGAGTTTGGTAAGGATAAGATCGAGATAGTGGTTTCAATCAGGTGGCTTGTGAGTGGACTCCAGCTGGAGTATATAGTGGTTGGAGGTGAGTCAGGGTCTACATCAACCAGGTGATGGTTCAGGTTTGTACACCTAGCAAGAAATGAGACCGAGGGGTACCCCCCCCCAACATGTCCAATCCCTANGGGGGGGGGGGGGGTTCTCTCCGTCTCATACCTTGTTGCTTATGTGGGTTTGGGGCTGGAATCCATTTGCAATCTATTCCATCAAAAGTCAGTCATTGATTCACGAATTTGGTCGGATAAGAACAGGAGATCAACAATGAGAAGGGGCTGCCTCTTTCATTACGTGTCCGATTTGGGCTCTTACATGACACTTGACGACGATAGCCGTATCTGACAAGTGCGTCATGTCCCAGCCTTTGGCAAAGACAGAGGCGTAGAGAAGCAAACAACCAACCACAGTCAGGTTACCCAGGGAAGGACTCGACATCTTGATGGCCCTGGGATTTACAAACAAAAGGAACAACAATAGGGTTGAGAATGGGATTTTGTTCTGCTATTTATTTTATATCAACCAGATTATATCTGTATTTTAATCATTCACATGGGTAAAAGTTTTTAGGTGAATTGAAAAGAAGTAAATCTATACACTTATTGAACTCGAGAGCAGATTGAATCTCCATAATCCTTGTTTGACAAAAAGAACACCTTATAACAGACCCCCCGGAAATATGTTCCTACACACGACAGAACTGTCCCAAACCTTGAAAAAGGTAACCCTGTAGGATCTGGTCACATTTTTATCGCAGGAATGTGTTGACAACCGATCCCTTTTGTAACTGTCTATTTGGCACTCACTTCATGAAAAGTTTTGTATTTTAGAAACAAGAATGATTCGCCATGCAACATCCCCAACAAAATAAAGCTTTACTTTTAGCCAGTTTGGACCTTCAGTTAAACGTTGAATAGCATGCGTGAGATATTGAATGTAACTCAAAACATCAGAACTCCAAGACCCCCTCTACCCCATCAAGTGGGCCTATAATGAATCCAATTGTCACAAACTAGGTTCATGCTACCTTCTGTGTTTGTATTTGACATTAATGAAGAGGAGGCCTAACGCCAAGACAGCGCCGATCGACGTCAGGGAGAACAGAATCGCCCGTACGCTAGACGATACTTCAAGGATCTTAGATCTCTGTGTTATACCATCCACGGGAACATGACCACCTGTGTGAAGATTATGAGCCAAAGAAACGTAATTAAAGCCACACCTGTATGTTTTCCCAACAAACTTGAACTTCTACTCGAAGGAAGAGATGTTTGCGAGGACACATGTGTGTAACAAATACCTCTATAGAGGAATGGTTGGGCGTTGACCGAAATCTAAAGAATGTACATCGGCTTAAAAAAATCCAGGGAGCTATTTATCTTTTGCGTTGCTTTTGGTAAATGTACATTATAGGCAAAATTAACACTAAACAATTAAAGGAGATCTGTCTGCAAAGTGTGCCCACCCAAATGAATAGTAGCTAATATAGGTGAAGTCAATAAATCAACAGAGTCCTTGAGTCTTGCGTCCATGAGGGTGAAAGTAAGAGTGTATAACAATGCACGGTCACATCTAAAGTCTCCTCAAGATATCGCTGTCAAACCGTAACACTGAGTTATTGTACTCTCAGATATTGTTCAAAATACTTGTAATAACCATTTTGACACCCCCCGATAAAATGCCGTGTTCTTCCGTGACCAAAATCTCAACTTTTGTCTCACTCAATTTTATTCAAGCAACGTTTAATTCAGCTGCTGCGAAGGCCAATGTAATTGCAGGCACGCGCTCTGCCGAATAATTTGATTCAAATCAAAGAGAAGTGTAGCGATTATTCTGTACCACACTGAAAGGGTGACAAATGTTCTGAACTTTGACCACAAAAAAACTTCTTCATAATAATAACCTGCCTTCGGCACTTTCAAATTATTGAATTAAACGTGGCTGTTTTCATGAACTGGACTCTCTTTGTGTAATTACTCTTTTCGTAGAACGAGGAAAAGATTCCACTAGGCTCCAGGACAACTCAACTGAGTCACCGGCGTGTCAGCTTCAGATGAAAACGACCTATTTGAAAATACTATGCGTGCACGAAGCGGAAGAGTTCCACGTTATTGTCTTGGGATCAATGTACATCGGCAGCCACTGCTGGAAAAAGGATCGAATTCCTGGCACGGCCCGAAGCATTAGTATGGAAAAATTGGTACTCTTCGTTTCCCTTGAACCTAAGCTTTGTGTCACATTTTATGCTGAAGATTTAACAATTTACTTGCATCAGAGCAAACATCCTCTAAATTAAAAAAGACTTTAAAGAATGAAGAATGAAATTCACCTTTCCATTTAATACTCGAAACGCCTGAATTCACCAAGATGTTCTCCTGAATCTTGTACTTCATTACGTTATTCAAACTTGAACCTAAAAAGTGAATAAGATTCATTCTTCTTAAAATGCCACATGAAGTATTCTACGTGCACGCAAACAGAAAGCGGGAAAGACCTGCGAGAAACGTCGATTTTTTTCTCAGTAAAACAACCCCTTAGAATACACTAGTTTTGTTGATTACGCATAAAAACTGATTCTTGATAATTAGGCCTAAGGATTAGTTTTGCAGTAATTACAGTTCACCGAGAATCCCACTTATAAAGATATAAATGAAGACTGTCACTGTTTTGGCCTGCACTTATAGTATGTGCCAGATCAAATATCATAGTGAGGAAGAGGCCATAACACCTGGCCCTGACAGTGCTATTCATGAACTATAAGACATTGTCCAATTACTGTAGGTTGTAATTTTTGCTCATATACATAATATAGTGTGGCTAATAAAGGAATTAATAATTTGACGATGCACTCCTGCATATGTTCCATTTTAAATCCTGTACACGTGATCAGTATTGATTATCTCGTTTAATCAAAGGAGACTGACGATATCAATCGATTTTTTATTTTCTCCGAGCACACGGATATGATTCTATATCGACGGGCTATTTCACCTTGAGCCTGATCGATGAAGACTGTTTCCGCTCTCCGTTGTCCATTTTCAACATGAACTCGACCCTATTAAGAAATCACAACCAATACGTTAGTATTTGTAAATGCACCACACATAATTACCACTTGTAAGACCTCGTACAAAGGTTGGCGAATTCGGATTCGTGTGCCATAATACCGGTACGTCGCCGTCATTGAAACACCAAGAGTGCAGTTATTGGTGATGCATTATGTTCATGTTCAGTCTGGTTTCCATATCGACGTAAGAGCGTAGCAGCGAAATCAAGACGCAAACTACAACACAGACATATGGAAACATGTCAAACAGAAGTATCGCCGATAACACAGACATAACGCAAACTAGCCCCCAGGCGGATCGGCAAAGTTGAGCCTGGTTCTACCTTGTCGACTGTCTGCGTTGAGTCGCTGAGTAGGCCTATACAAACATGCACACTGGCATGACGGACATACAACGATGTTCCTGTCTTAGTACCACTCATTTTATTCATTTCTCCTTATTACTAGCATATGCAGCCTCAATCGTCGACAAAATAGTTGACCGTTAACTGGAGTATCAGTCTAGCTTCATTGAAACATTGCCTCCTAACGAGGGCATATTTTGCCAACATTTTCCCGAGTTTCGGGTGTCATTTTGTTCAATTTTTGGTGAAGTGACGTCGCGCGGCATCTCTTCCGCGACTGTCTGCGTCTTGGCGTCTTACGGCCGGTCTGCGTTGCAAACCACCATATGGAAACCAGGTTTCCACGCACTTGTCAAAGATAAAGAAAAATATACTTCTGCCCTACTCGCATACGCTCTATTTACTAAGCAGTTTCTTCTTTACCGCTCTGTTTAATGTACCATAATTCTTAAACCATTAAAATAAGGCCAAGCTCAAAAGCAATTGCTCAGGTTTAAGCAATAGTATTGTTAATATTTACCCAGTGGGAATTATGATTAATTAATGAAATAGACAAATAAAGTATTGATAAAGTATATAAACAATTAATATATAATGCAATAATTACCGACAATCCAAGGAACTCTATGTTGCCAGCGTTGTCCAAAATCACCCTTGCCATGTCCACATCTGAATAGCTGAAGTCTTCAAGCCTACGAGGGGGCTGAAGACGCTGTAGGTCCGCTATGGAGGCATTGAGGGCCAGTGCTACAGATACGATGCCGTCGTACGTAATCGGTATGATATTATTACTGAATGGGTAGATACTGTCGTAGTAGTCATAATGCTCTGGTAAAGGTTTCTGCAATTTACACCAAACGGATACAATTACCAATAGTTGACTGCTGTGGCGTCAGTTATGTAGATATTAACATCCGAGGGGCTTTTCTTGACCAATGAAATAACAGTGTCCAAGAACACGATGTGAAGAAAAATTTTCTCACAATTCTATTACAGGGAACAGCAACCATGGTTCAGAGAACACTGCTTGTTACAATTAATTGTCTTTTTCAAGTTTTGATTAAGTCACCCTGCACAGACATTAGAGTGTTACAAGTGAGTTCGAATGCCCCATTTTCAAGACAATGGTGTTCATTCATGTATGAAAGGAGGGATTCCATCAAGGTATCATTAGAAAGAATACTGCTTCTACTTTTCGGAGATCCTTGTACATTATAATCATATCTCATGGTTTGGGCATATTAACCCCTTTCCTCAGCATTTGTTTTTTTCTGGGACACCATGTATCACGTGTGGTGCCAAACGTGATTCACATCAAATCAGCCACGTGAGTTTGACGTGACTAATGTCCCATTGTTAACTGGGACAAAATAAATGATTCACATACCACCCCGTTGAAATCCAACTCTGGCAGTGTCTTAGAGCGATAATTAACGTTGAAATGAATCGATGTATCAGCGGCAGCAAGGATCTCTTCTGCCGTACAAGGTTCAGTGTCTGACCGTTGGGGGTTCACCCACCACGCGTATGTTGTCCAGTAGGGCGATATCCACACGTACTTCGCACCCGTCATATTGGCTTTATAAGCCTGCAGAACAAATCACAAATAGTTGTTATGGTTGTAGAAAGATCTTTGCAATTAATGATTTAAATTGTGAAAGCGAAATAAAACACGCATTCGTCTTTTGAGATGCAATCTTCATTGTGAAGGCCATCATTGTCATCGTTAGCCCACCTTTTCATCATAAAAAATAAACATCTTGTCCTGATCATTGTCGCAATTGTCGTAGCGTTACCACGAGTACCCTCGGCAAAATTGTTCTCGTTATCACTGTCCTCTCCACCGTCATCACAGACCTCCTTTGCAGCTTGACATTAACTCACCTGACAGAAAAGCTTCAGTATCGCAGCCCTGTTGGAAAATCCAGTGTAAATGATCCTGACATCTTGGCGCTGCAATTACAAGCAGACCAAATAATGTCAACTGCAAGCAGTAAAGCTTGCATGAATGTCACACGAAATAAACAAGAAGTCCATGGCGAAGCAGGGGCTTATCGCAGAATTTTTCGGGGGGGGGGTCATGCCGGAGATTTGTTAATGTCTCATTTCTGCGGACAAGCGGAAACGATGATGAAACACTCTACATGACATACATTGTTTACAAGGATATTGGTGCACTTACTTTAGCTATTTTTTATTATTATTTTTTTTCCCCATTTTTACCTTTTTTGTGTCAGAGTGGGTGGAGGTTGACCCCCCCTCGGATCCGCTCCTGCAAAGGGCCTCCCTATATCGGAGAGAACTGCTCGCGTCCATTGGACGAGAATTTTCTTTGGTAACTCTTCCATATCGGAATTCTTGAATTTGAATTCAGAAATGCATAATATATAAAGCCGCAGCAAACGGTTTGCTGACTGCAGCGTCATGGCGATTTAAAATAGAGGGTGTGGCGTATCAATATCCACATACTCTCTCTCAAAAGACTATTTTTCCGAATGCCTATGCCTATTTATATGAATCTGAATTCAGTTAAAACGAATTCTATTCATATTCGAGTTCAAGCTGACGTCATGAAAAGTATGCTGTGCAATGTATTGAGTGATTAGACTGGACACAGCTTTTTCCATTTTTAATGCTGGAAATATAACTTGCACCTTTGAATTTCAATCTTCACAAGATTTACCTACCGGACTTCCTTCAAAAACGTGAGCTTAATAATTTTTTCCCATTAAACTGCGATATTACATTCAAGTGGAAAATCAACTGTAACAAGTTACGTTTTAATTTTTTATTTTATTCATCTTGCACTATGACAACAGACCAGGAATTAGAGGACCTCTCCAACCCCAACCTCAATAACCCGTTTCCTTAACATACCTTGAGGTTTTCTAGATGGATATCCAACGCATTGATGTTTTTGACTCCTTCAGATGCGTCAATTCTGATCTCCTCTGCTTCCAAAATCTCACGGAAATCCTTCATATGCTTTAAATCAAACGCCCCAAAAGGACTCGTGTTATCAATTTTTGATCATTGCCCGCTAGGGAAAATGTGGTCAGCCTCGCGCGACAGTTGTAATTTGCAAATAACTGATAAGCCACTAAACGACAAGATTCCGGTGTGCCTGTCCCTGCAGCCTTCCTTAAAGAACTAAATCTAAGTTCTCGTACATGTTGCCTTTATTCAATAACACTGCCTGAGAGCAAGCAAAACTGCCGTAACAAACGTTCAAGTTAAAGTCGTCGTTTTCGAGTGTGCATGTACAAATCAACCTACACCTTTTCATTTGTTAATTCGGCAATGGACAAACGCAGATCCGAATAGTTATCATTAACTATAGGACATTCAGCTTGGTAGTGGGCTAAGTGACATAATATGGAAAAACTTCTGAAACTGGGCAGTCTTACGTTATGAAAGAAGGCGTTTTCCTCGAAGATGAAAGCAATGCGCCTCCATCCCATTTCCTGGATGAATGCCGCCCCGCCTACTAGTCTTGCCTTGTCATTGAAGTAGGCTCTGACTGTGTACGGATACACAGAGCGATCTCCTAACGCTGGACTTGACGGTAAGCCAATCTGTCCGTTAATAATTCATGACTTCTCTGGTTAAAATGAAACGACCTCTGTTGTTTTCAAACGGAGCCCCTCTACACAGACAAACGGTAGCGGAATGCCGCGCGATAAAACTC